CAGTATCTGGATGCAGCCTTTATGATGCAAGCTGAGACTGCATCACTCAGCAATGCAATGTCAGACACAATGCACTCAAATGGAGCGGGTGACGTCACTGTAAGGGGCGGGGTTAGGTGAGCACATTAAAAAGCATTGGATGCAGCTCAGATTGCAACTGCACCAGGTCTGCATCCAGACCCCTCTCACTTTAAGAGCCATTTTACAGTTTGGGTTTACACAGATATGTAATTGTTTTGCTAATTGCAAAAAATCATCACAATAATTGTTCTGAACCGTATTCTGTGATGTGACTGTGATGCACCTTTTGTAAGCTGCTTTGAATCAATAATTATTGTGGAAAGAGCTGTACAAATAAACCTGAATTCAGTTTGGATAATTGTATTAAAGTGTATTCTGTTCAAAACAAATGAATGGAAGTTTAATTAACCGCACAGCCCTACCTGAGTGCTGGCCAGGAGTCTGCGGTTCTGGAAAACTAGCGGTTCTGCTCCTAAATGTGACTCTCCGGATTCGGCAACCAATCCGCCTAGCAGACGCCGGCGCACAGGCTGATACCCAATAGTAGGCGAGGGTTTTGTGTTACTCTCCTCCTCTTCTTCTGGGATAGCGAGGGTGGAGATCTGCCGTCGGGAGCTTGTGTTGGACGTCAGAGAGTCGCAGGAGCTGAATCGGTTCATTTTCCCCATCACAGTAGCAGTGGCTGGACTCACTGCTGGTTTTTCTTCTGGAAGCGAGCGGAGGCTGGAGGCGCGGGGGAGATGTGGACTGGGAGGTTTGAGTATTCCAGGTCGAGGCAGCTCTTCTAAACCTTCTTCAGCTTCTAGAGAGAGTGCGGAGGCTCTGCGGCGTAGAGCTGAAGCTCCTGTGGTCTGGTAGATGGGCAGAGAAACGGTGCTGCCTTCACCCACATCTGAGCCTTGTTCCCAGCCGACGCGCTTCTTCCTCAGACCCTCCAGGAGCTCGGAGAGAGCCGTGGATGAAGACGCTCTCCCGAGACCTCCAGAACTTTCTTTTACATCTTCATCCAGGTCCTGAGTGCAAGATCTGCCATTGGGAAAACCAAAATCACAATTCATTTACAGCAGAATTCACAAGCAGAACTGACATTTTTGGGCAAACTGTCCCTTTAATACCATTTTTTTAAAGTTACAATTTCAAGTTCATTCATTCATTTTCTTTTCGGCTTAGTCCCATTATTAATCTGGAGTCGCCACAGCGGAATGAACCGCCAACTAATCCAGCATGTTTTATGCAGCGGATGCCACTCGCATACACTACGGACAATTTTAGCTTACCCGATTCTCCTATAGCGCATGTGTTTGGACTGTGGGGGAAACCAGAGCACCCAGAGCAATCCCACGCCAGCGCAGGGAGAACATGCAAACTCCACACAGAAATGCCAACTGACCCAGCCGAGGCTAGAACCAGCGACCTTCTTGCTGTGAGGTGACCGTGGTACCCACTGTGCTACCGTGCAGCCCCAGTCTCAAGTTGACTCTCATTAACTGTTTCCATTCTGAGATGCTAATTAGATTTAAGTGCAAAACTGAAAGATGACATAAAACATTATGAATAAAGCAGCGTTTGCAGTCAATCTATCTTATTTGCACAAATAATCATCAGAGAAGTGTAGTCGAGTGCATTGGGATTGGTCACTCTGGTGTTTTTTTCTCCTCTAATAAACGAGTTGCGCCACAGAAGACGATGACAAAACGTGATGAAATGCGTCGAAGTGAGGCGAAAGGTGACAAAACGTGATGAAATGCGTCGAAGTGAGGCGAAAGGTGACAAAACGTGATGAAATGCGTCGAAGTGAGGCGAAAGGTGACAAAACGTGATGAAATGCGATGAAACGTGATGAAAAGCAACAAAACATGGTGAAATGTGACAAAATGTGACGAAATGCGACAAAACGTGTGGAAACATGACGAAATGTGACAAAACACGATGAAACGTGACAGAATGTGACAAAAAGCACTGAAACGTAATGAAATGAGCAAAGCATGATGAAACGTGACGGAATGAGACAAAACGTGACGAAATGCAACAAAACGTAAGGAAATGCGATAAAACATGCCGAAACATAACAAAATACAACGAAATGAGATGAAATGTGACAAAATGTGGCAAAACGTGACGCAATGCGATGAACGTGATGAAATGAGAAAAACGCGGCATAACCTGACGAAATGGATAAAACGCGATGAAACGTGACGAAATGCGACAAGACATGACGAAATGCAACGAAACGTAAGGAAATGCGATAAAACATGCCGAAACATAACGAAATACAACGAAATGAGATGAAATGTGACAAAATGTGGCAAAACGTGACGCAATGCGATGAACGTGATGAAATGAGAAAAACGCGGTATTACCTGACGAAATGGATAAAACGCGATGAAACGTGACGAAATGCGACAAGACATGACGAAATGCAACGAAACGTAAGGAAATGCGATAAAACATGCCGAAACATAACGAAATACAACGAAATGAGATGAAATGTGACAAAATGTGGCAAAACGTGACGCAATGCGATGAACGTGATGAAATGAGAAAAACGCGGTATTACCTGACGAAATGGATAAAACGCGATGAAACGTGACGAAATGCGACAAGACATGACGAAATGCAACGAAACGTAAGGAAATGCGATAAAACATGCCGAAACATAACGAAATACGACAAAACGAGATGAAACGAGACAAAATGTGCCAAAACGTGACGCAATGCGATGGAACGTGATGAAATGAGACAAAACGCGGCATAACCTGACAAAATGGATAAAACGCGATGAAACGTGACAAAATGAAACAAAACGTGATGAAATGCAACAAAACGTAAGGAAATGTGGCAAAACGTGCCAAAACATGACGAAATGCGGCGAAACGAGCCAAAACATGACGAAATGCGGCGAAACGAGCCAAAACATGACGAAATGCGGCGAAACGAGATGAAACGTGACGAAATGCGGCGAAACGAGATGAAACGTGACGAAATGAGACAAACGGGATGAAACGTGAAAAAATGCGACGAAACGCGACGGAATGAGACAAAATGCAATAATCATGACAAAATGTGCCAAAATGCGATAAAAGGTGATGAAATTAGACAAAACGCGATGAAACATGTCGAAATGGAAGAAACGCGATGAAACGTGACAAAATGAGACAAAACGTGACAAAATGCAACGAAACGTGACAAAATGAGACAAAAACGTGACTAAATGCGACGAAACCTGATTTATTCATTCATTCATTTTTTCTTCAGCTTAGTCCTTTATTTGTCAGGGGTCGCCACAGTGGAATGAACTGCAACTATTCAAGCATATGTTTTACACAGCGGATGCCGCATTAAGCCGCAACCCAGTACTGGGAAACACCCATACACACTCATTCATACATGCACTCAAACACTACGGGCAATTTAGTTGATCAATTCCCCTATAGCGCATGTGTTTGGACTGTGCGGAAAATCGAAGCTCCCAGAGGAAACCCACGCCAACACGGGAGAACATGCAAACTCCACACAAAAACACCAACTGACCCAGCCGAGACTCAAAACAGTGACCTTCCTGCTGTGAGGCCACAGTGCTGACCACTGAGCCACCCAAAAGTCAATCAGTAATACAACATTGTAGAAAAACAACGTGCTCTTGACTCTTACACACTTTTTAATGTGTGTGCTAATAATTCTGATTGACCGAAGAACACTCATTCTGATTGGCTGATGTTGGGGTGTACCTGAAACTGTAGTTGCTCATAGTGTCGGTGACAGACTGCCGTCCGGAGCTGCTTCCGGGTCCTCGTGGCACACCGGCCCAATGACGGATCCCTTCACCAACGTCTTCAGTGCCCACACTGGAGCCCACGCTGGACAGGGAGTCGCTGAAAATCAAACCCAGAGTCACAGTAAAAATACACATCACGTCTTTTAGAAAACAAACTCTCACAAGCAGAGCTGGGTAGAAATGGATTATATGTCGTCATCATTATATAATCAGTACTTGTAAACAACAGAGTAAACAACTTTAATACAATATTCATAATCTGACTCCAGGTACTTTTTGCAGGATAACATGATTACATATTATTTACACAATGGCAGTACGCTGTCACAATGCACTAATTCTCCTAATTATTTTCTCCTTTTACTTATATATTTGTATAATAATCCTGCTGCTTCTTTATGTTTTCAACATTTTGTGTTTTTATTTTCTGCTGGAGAGGGGTTATATGACATTGACACTGTCATCTGCAGTTCTAGTGTTTTTGAAATGATGTCGCAGGGAGATCGCTGTGAATTTCACGTTGTTTTAATATTGTTTTTGTAATGTTGCTGTTTTCTAAATGCTCTTATTTCAAAGTTGTTTTGAGCTCATTAGGTGTAATTTAGTTGTATTGAGTGTGTCTCTCAGCAAACACTAACATGAGGTATATTAGTGTGCGTATTGTGAAGTATGAACAGAAGATATTAACACTCTAGTTGCTATAGAATGAAGATATAGCACATGATTGTCCTGCTACGATATATGCCACATCAAGTCAGTAATGTAAATATAATCCAATTGTAGTCAGATTACATTACCATAAAAGTGTAATTTAAGATTTTATATTACTCCCGTTTGTCTCATGTAGTCAAATAAAGGTTAGTACAATGTAATCTAAATGTAATCCAAAAGTAGTCTGATTACATTACCATAAATGTGTAATCTAGAAGATTATATTGCTGTTTTTTTTATCATGCAATCAAATAAGGGTTGGGACAAAAGTAATCTACCTGTAATCCAAATGTAGTCAGATTACATTAATGTGTTATCTAGGATATTATATTACTGAATACAATTTGTCTCATGTAGTAAAATAAAGGTTAGTACAATGTAATCTAAATTTAATACAAAAGTAGTCAGATTACATTACCATAAATGTGTAATCTAAGATATTGTATTACTGACAAAAAATTATATTATGTATTCATATAAGAACAAAAGCAATCCAAATGTAACCCAAAAGTAGTCAGCTGACATTAATAATTGTGTAATCTAATATATTATTTTACTGACTACAAAAAGTCTCTTATAGTCAAATAACTAAGTAGTCAGATTACATTGCCATAAATGTGTTACCTAAGATATTATATTGACAAAAAATTCTAGCATGTATTCATATAAGAACAAAAGTATTCCAAATGTAATCCAAAATAAATCAGATAACATTACCATAAATGTGTAAATCTAAAATATTATAATACTAAATACAAATTTTTAATCATGTAATCAAATAAGGTCTGATTACATTACCATAAATGTGTAATTCATTCGTTCATTTTCTTGTCGGCTTAGTCCCTTTATTAATCCGGGGTCGCCACAGCGGAATGAACCGCCAACTTGTTCAGTTTTTACGCAGCGGAAACCCTTTTTTATCATGCAATCAAATAAGGGTTAGGACAAAAGTAATCTAATTGTAATCCAAATGTAGTCAGATTACATTAATGTGTTATCCAAGATATTGTATTACTGACAAAAATAATATCATGTATTCATATAAGAACAAAAGTAATTCAAAAGTAATCCAAACCAAAAGTATTCAGATTACATTACCATAAATGTGTAATTAAAGATTTTATATTACTGACTACATATTTGTCTTATGTGGTCAAATATAGGTAAGTACAATGCAATGTAAATGTAATCATAAAGTAGTCAGATTACATTACCATAAATGTGTAATCTAAGAGTTTATATTGACTAAAAAATCTAGCATGTATTCATGTAGGAACAAAAGTAATCCAAATGTAATCCAAAGCAAGTCATTTTACATTACCATAAATGTGTAAACTAAGATATTATAATACTAACTACAAATTGACTCATGTAGTCAAATAAAGGTTAGTACAATGTAATCTAAATGTAATCCAAAAGTAGTCTGATTACATTACCATAAATGTGTAATCTAAGATATATTACTGACTAAAAATGTTATCATGTAATCAAATAAGAGTAAGCACAAAAGTAATCTAAATGTAATCCAAAAGTTGTCTGATTACATTACCATGAACATGTCATCCAAGATATTACCTATTGACTGCAAACTCGAAATTGTAATTTGTAATCAGTAACAGATTTCATATCATAAGCAATCAGTCAAGTCAATAAAAGCCTGTATCAGTGCACGCATGACCGCATGAATATAACGCTGCGTGTGTCCTGAGAGGATTTTTCTCTGCCGTAACGCCACCATTGGGGGTGATTTCAGCTCTGATATCCTCATCTCCACCCAGCAGGCCATGTGTGTGTGTGTGTGTTCAGTGAGCTGTGAGTTCATTAGTCTTGAGAGCGCTGTCATTATCAGGGGCGCAACGCACTGATCCACAGCCTGTTTACAGACTTACTAACGCTGTTTGCCTGAGATCCCAAAACATAAGCTTCCTTCCAAGAGCTGGTGAGCCTGAAGGGAGCATAGTGTACACTACAAATGCCTTCAAAATTGCACTCTCATGAAGCACTGCCAATGATACAAATTAAAAATGAAAGATGAAACTATTTATTTATAATTATTGGTGGTGTATTTTTTAGAAACAACATAATTGCAGTACTGGTGAAGACAAAATATTCAGCCTGTGATATATATATATTGAATTATAAGTATTATTAATCTATTCTTCAAATGTATTTATATAGACAAATATTTCAACATTTTGATGATATAACATATGTAACTGAGTAAAATGTTACTGTGCAATAAAATGAGGGTTAGCACAAAAGTAATCTAAATGTAATCCAAAAGTAGTCTGATTACATTAAAATGTGTCATGTAAGATATTATACTACTAGGTAAAAATGTTATATTGTAATCAAATAAAGAGTTAGCCCAAAAGCAATCTAAATGTAATCCAAGAGTAGTCAGATTACATTAGTATATATGTGTAATCTAAGACATTATATCCAAAACAACAAATTTTTTATAATGTAATCAAATGTGCTAGCCCAAAAGTAATCTAAATGTAATCCAAAAGCAGTCAGATTACATTACCGTACATGTTTAATCAAAGATATTATAATACTGATTAAAATGGTAATGTGTAAACAAATGAGCGTTAGCCCAAAAGTAATCTAAATGTAATCCAAAAGTAGTCTGATTACATTAAAATGTGTAATCTATGATATTATATTACTACTACGTAAAAATGTTATCATGTAATCAAATAAAGGGTTAGCCCAAAAGCAATCTAAATGTAATCCAAGAGTAGTCAGATTACATTACCATATATGTATAACCTAAGACATTATATCCAAAACAACTAATTTTTTATCATGTAATCAAATGTGCTAGCCCAAAAGTAATCTAAATGTAATCCAAAAGCAGTCAGATTACATTACCATACATGTTTAATCAAAGATATTATAATACTGATTAAAATGGTAATGTGTAATCAAATGAGCGTTAGCCCAAAAGTAATCTAAATGTAATCCAAAAGTAGTCTGATTACATTACCATACATGTTTAATCTAAGGTATAATACTGATTAAAATGGTAATGTGTAGTCAAATGAGTGTTAGCCCAAAAGTAATCTAAATGTAATCCAAAAGTAGTCTGATTACATTAAAATGTGTAATGTAAGATATTATACTACTAGGTAAAAATGTTATCATGTAATCAAATAAAGAGTTAGCCCAAAAGCAATCTAAATGTAATCCAAGAGTAGTCAGATTACATTACCATATATGTGTAATCAAAGACATTATATCTAAAACAACAATTTTTTTTCATGTAATCAAATGTGTTAGCCCAAAAGTAATCTAAATGTAATCCAAAAGTAGTCCGATTACATTACCATACATGTTTAATCAAAGATATTATAATACTGACTAAAATGGTAATGTGTAATCAAATGAGAGTTAGCCCAAAAGTAATCTAAATGTAATCCAAAAGTAGTCCTACAATAATCCAATTTTATAATGCAAACCATCATTTGTTACAATAGTTACTTTATACAATAAAATACATTTATTTATTTAAAAATAATTAATAAATTTATGACAATTATTACTACAATTTATTTATAAATAATCCACACTCATATTGGTTGTTTAAAAATTATTATTTGCTATCAATTGTCTATATTTACTAAAAACTTTCTTGGTGCAATGCATCAATGCAAATGAGTCATGTTGGAGTTGCACGACTCCTGTGATGCTGTAAAGTGAAGCAGTGCTCATTCAGCATCATAACAGAACTATAGCATCAAAAACTGCAGCAGCTCTTGCTGAAACACACACGAATAAAGCGACAGAAACATGCTAATGGGCTGCATTCGCCACAGGCTCTCCTGCGTTCTCAGGTAGTGTAATTATTCTCCCCACATTCACACACACACACATTTTTAAGAGCGCTTCATTTTCTACTTTTCATCGGCTGAGGAGAGACGCGGGGGGTCCAGGACAAACACACATGCATTATTCACAAGACAAAACACATCACAGCTGGCACACTTCACAAAAGGTGAGCTCTCATATTTAACAAAGCAGAAGTGTGTATGCGTGTGTTCAACATGTGGTCATTCAGACTCGACATCGCACACACACACACATACACACGTACATCATTGAAATCAAGAGCGTCAGGCCATCCATCCACATTTCAGAGCATTTAGCCTCCACCAACAGCAGAAAACACACTTCACTTGCTTTCATATGCACAGAAACAGCAGAAACATTCCTTCATTTCACTGCTGATGTTAATGTGTGTTATGCTGATGCAGCTCAACAACACAAGGAATGTTTGCAATAGCTTTTCTGGGAATAAGAACATTTCTGCAACGTCCTAAATCATTTGGCCTTTAAGATTGTTAAAGATGTATTGTCACTCAAATAAACTTGTGTTTTGTCACTTGTGAATTATAAAGAAGCTTTAAAATATATAATTTAATAATTAAAATAATCACATAAATATGTGTTAAAAGTTCAGTATTGTTAAAATATATAAAAATATAAAAAAACAATTGTGTAAATTCTGTCAAAAACTAATTATTTATCTTTTGATATTTAAATATGAGAACTTTAACATATATTTTAACTCCAATAAAAGGAGGAAAAAGGGAAAGTGATTTTAATAGAAAATGGTTATTTTAATTAATAAAAATATTAAAAAGTAATGATAAAATTGATTAGCTTGATCAGTCATTATGAGAATAATTTAACAGCATTAATAACAAAAAGCTTTGATTCATTTCATTAAATTTAAAAATATACTTTTAATAACTTTAAAATAACTTTCTAAATAATTAAACAAACAAATAATAAATATATATATATATATATATACATACATACATACAGTTGAAGAATTATTTGCCCCCCTTTGACTTTTTTCCCTTTTTAAATATTTCCCAAATGATGTTTAACAGAGCAAGTAAATTTTCACAGTATGTCTGATAATATTTTTTCTTCTGGAGAAAGTCTTATTTGTTTTATTTCGGCTAGAATAAAAGCTGTTTTTAATTGTTTTAAAGAAATTTTAAGGTCAATATTATTAGCCCCTTTAAGCTATATTTTTTCTCGATAGTCTACAGAACAAACCATCGTTATACAATAACTTGCCTAATTACCCTAACCTGCCTAGTTCACCTAGTTAATAAGAATATCTAGTAAAATATTATGTACTGTCATCATGGCAAAGATAAAATAAAATAAATGAGTTATTAAAACTATTATGATTAGAAATGTGCTGAAGAAATCTGCTCTCCGTTAAACAGAAATTGGGGAAAAAATAAAAACAGGGGGCCGAATATATATATATATATATATATATATATATATATATATATATATATATATATATATATATATATATATATATATATATATATATATATATATATATATATATATATATCTATATATATATTTCTTTTTTTATATAAATAAAAAAAATTTTTTTTTTTTTTTTTTTTTTTTTTTGTGTGTGTGTGATTAAAATATATATATATATATATATAGATATAGATATACACAGAGAGAGCGAGGCGGGTGTGTGTATGTGTGCGTGTGTTTGTAT